CAGCGTATTTAACCTTAACACTAAATCTATAAAAGTAATTCAAGTAAACCTATTCTTTCAAGAGGCTTAACATCAGAAACATAAAATATGATATCAGAGATGCCAACTGCTCCGGACACGCCATTAAAATTAAAAAAATGGTAAGTAACTACGAAGTAAATTTTGAAAATATTTGATCATTTTTGCTTGCTTTTTAAAAGGTATGGCGTGACTTAAATACTATAAAGTGGTGAATTATATAAGCGAATTATTTAGAAATAGTGGTGGATAAAAATCTACTAAATTGAATTTATTAGACCAAGAATCAAAATTGATAAACTACCACTTTAAAATATATACTTGCTGTCCGGAGCAAGTTGGCATCTCTGTGATATGCATGGTACAAAGCAGAGCAGGTTACAGTTAAAATATGTAATCCAAATTCAAACACAAAGAGCGTGCTTAGATCAAAGCTTTCAGTAATTTTCAGTAGAAAAACGAATTTCAAATTTAAAAAATAAATAAATGATAAATTAAAAAAATATATATACATAAACGTTGCAACATAAAGAGATACTTAACAGCAAATACTCCAAATGTTTCCAAAGCAAATGAAATTTTTATGAAGAGTTTTTAAGTTTGTAAGCTTGATTAATTGATACAGCTTAGGGATTTAATTATACCTATTCATTATTTTTAGCATTTGATTTGACTTGATAATCGCCTTACGACTGCCTAGGAAATAATAAAAGATACAAAATAAAAGATTTAAAAAAAAAATGCACATAGCAATGAAATCTATCGTCTCGTTGTCAAGTAAATGACAAAATAAAGTTATCGACTGAACACTAAGCTGTCTCACAGGACATGTTATTTCACCTCTTCTTCCCCTCGACTGNTTGATTACATAGCTGTAATTATCTGTAATCAATTACAGTTGTAATCGATTACTGTAATCAACGGCCAACTCTGGAACATAAGCATCGTAGTGAGATCATCCCCCTCAATGACATCATAAACTATGGATTTTGCACAAATCGGTCAATTTAGACAGTTTTTGATTAAATAATTTTATCTATCGCATCATCCAGAAATATATTTTTGCATTCCAAAATAGCATCAATCAGCTTCAAATATTTTTACAAGACACTCTTTTTCCAGAATATTATTTGTGGATTTAGCGAACATAAATTCGATACTAATATTGTTATTTAATTTTTCGTTGGATTATCACCATTTCCTAATAAGTCATACATGTTGAATCTTTTAACAGCTTAATATCTATGTTTTCTATTATTTTTACTTGCCATATTTCACTGAATAACACACTCCACGTTGACAATTGCGTAAATTAAATAATGCTAAGACCGTAGGGTACAAAATTGCCCTGAATTTTGCAAAATCCAGAAATTTTTACATACTTTTAGCGATATTACGATCATAATAGTAAGATGTATAACGTATACATCTAATGATAAACAAGCAGATGTATGTTATTCAAATCACACAAGCGTGTTATTAAAATCGCAATTCAACCTTAACGAAAAATGTGAATTCCATACTAGTAACATTAACAACATTTTGTAATTTAACTGGTTAATTTCTTTTTACACTCCTCCTTTACATACCTATAACAAGTTTAGTTTATAGCACCCATAAATTTCGATATATTGAAGTAATGTGGCGAATTTAGCGTTGTCTAGCCGCATTCGGTAATTGTACTATTGGGCCAAAAACAGGATACACTATCAATACTTCCCATGAGTCAGTCATCTCATCTCCAATTAGAGAGGTCACGTTAGATTACTATTAAGAAATTTCTCTCCCGCTTGGTGATCCCGCACTTTGGTGATTTACTAATCTAATGGTGAGAAACTAAGTTAGTATTGTTGAAATAAAATATGATAGGTTAAACTGTCAATATGTTTTTCAAATCAAAGATATTGAAAAAGGATAAATAAAAATGATAGATAAAAATTGAGAATCGTGACTTATATGGTACAAAAAAAAGTAACTTTAACGTATCACAATTCAATTAATATTAGAATACGGCGTCTAACTAAAGCTTTTCAAATCATTCATTGCCTCTAAAAAGGAATCTTATTATCGTATTACATATAATGGAACTCGTTTCATATTTTCTGCAAGAAGTCGAAAACTTTTCATAAACATAGAAAAAGTTAAAAGCCTGGGAAAGAAATACACTTAGGAATTCTCTAAGAGAAAAAAAAACTCTTGAATCCAAGTTAAAAAGATGAACAAAAAAAAAAAAGTTTTTCTTAGACAGTATCAATAAAAGGGACCATCCCAACGAGAAATCCCACGCACTTCTGAAATAAAATAAGTAAAAATTTGAAAGCTCTCACGCAAATTGTGATGCCCCGCGGCTAATCTGTTAATTTTCATTAGTGGACGCCCCCTTAATCTGTCTACACCGCAGGTTTCGCATGCCAAGCATCTCGGAATGAACGGGGAAAACTGAATTTTCTGGGAGAAAACGGGGAAAAGGGGAGAAATAGAGAGAATGGCAAAGCTTGCTGCATTCTTAATGTATTTGCTTTCAGTTCTGTGAGCGGGGAATGAAGGACCTGGATGGAAAAATCGATCGGTTTCCTAAAAATGCTGAAAGCAGCGTAAGAAATTTTTATTGGTGCAGATTTTTTTTATTTTATTTTTTTTAGTGGCGTTGACCCTATTTTTATGCTTCTTTTCGTCCCTTTTTTTTATCATAAAAATATATGCGCATTATTTACTTATTTATTTTCGTAGCAAAAGAGGATGATAAAAAAAAAAAAAAAATTGTATATCGGAAGAAATTGTAGAAGAAAATAATAAATCATGACAAATCCAATCTCAGTGGCTGTCATTTTTCGTCGTGTACGTCCAATAGGAAAATGCATTTAAATTTATACTCCTTTCCATTTGAAAACGACTTTTTTTTATTTTTTTCTATCTGAGTATCTTTTTGAGGAAATATCGCGTTAAAGGATGGAATAATGTTACAATCTGAAAACCCTTTTCAGTTTTCTAAAAAGTACACTTAATATTAGTCATTTTTAAATCAAAATTGTTATGTCCACATGAAATCCTTGTTGATAGGAAAAAGATAATCAAAAATGTCTTGTAAACTTTTTAATATACAATACTAGAGATGTACAGAATACCCACGCAATTAATTGGTAAGAGAATTTTAGTACCCGGACCCGGCCAATTTCCCGGGTATCTAGTACCGGGTAACGCTCATTTCAGTTTGACACAAGTATTCAAAATTGTAAAACTATTCATAAAAATAATTCCACTTTTTGTCGTGCTTTGTTTTAGTCAATTTCATCATAAATCTGAATGAATTCTAATAATTAAAAATAATTAGTGTTTAAAACACCAATTTTAAAGATAAAAATTATCATATTTGCTAAACATGATAAATATGCATGCGGCCCTTCGTTAGTCAATATCCTGTGCAAGTGGCCCTTCATTCAAAAAGGTTGTGCACCCTCAATATAATATAACAGAAATTTTTTCATCTGAGTTAGCTGCTCGGATATTTATACAAAATGTTTAAAAAGAGACTTATCACATGAATCTTCTATCGTTACTATTGCCAAAACGTGTTTAAAATTATAGTTTTAGACAGAATTGAGGGGAGACTTCCGCAAACTTTATTAAATTAATGAGCATACCAAAAATTTAAAATAAAAGGGAACTTTACCTATTAAAAAGATTTAATCATAATACAAAGAATAACGGTGTCAGTTTAAAGGTTTTAGAGTACTTTGTCTTCGATTAAATGCCCCTTTAACTAGATGCCGTTTCCTTCACATCCCCCCTGTGAACACCACTGTCGGATACTCGAAATCCGGAAGAGGCAGTTCCAATACGCCCGAAATCCTGACAAAGAAGGATCATGTCACGTGATATCAAGTAGGCTCAGGCTTCAAATGCCTCCGATTTTCATATTAATTACTCAAGTGAATAAAAAAAGATCGGCATTTAAAGATAGGTCTTTTTTCATATATTATAGTGGGTTTATATTTGACTTCACAAAAAATGACAAAAACGACAACTCATTATCAATAGCGGCAATGTAACAAGAGCATTTGACACGAATATTGCAGAATTTTTTTTTATTTTTTTTTTTTAAAGAAAAACTGCCCACTGAGTCAATCGATTAAGAGTTCTGAACTTTTTCAATAGTTATTCAAGTACTGTTTTATTTGTAATATGCAATGGATAATTAAACCAAAAGTAATTATTTATTTACATTGCGAACAAGCTTGTTACAATAAATAATGATTTTAAATAATGATGTTATATAAAATCAATAAAAAAAAAACTATGAACAAAACAGGATTAAAGAAAAAAAAATTTTCCTCTTATCAACATCAGTACTATTATCCCTTTCCCAAAATATTTTTTTCATTTTTTCACCTCACAGCTCCTAAAACTGTAGTTCTTGGGAAGGAAAAACATGCATTTTATTATAAAATAAAAAGAGAAAAAAATAAAAAATATATCACCTTTTATAAGTATTAATCTAATTATCGAATGAGGTATTTTGAGTATGATTTGAGGTCATTGTACCAACAATAATTTGAAATCTTAACTGTTAAAACATAGAACTAAATAAAGAAGCCACAGATGATAATTTAAGTTATGAAATCAGGTACTTTCTCAAAATGTACTCTTCTTTTTCTGATAGAATAGGATTTTGCCTCTCAATATATGGTGAGGAAAGGAGATGTTACAATCTGAGAAATATGATTCCAATAGTTAATCCAGAGGCAAATTTTGTTGAGTAGCAATCAAGTGTAGTGAATTTTGACCAAAAAATTTGAGCATTTTAAAGTTAGCATAAGAAAAAAAAAATTGAGCATGGAGGTTTTTTGTTTCAATAAAACCAAAGTGGTATTTCATTGAAAATAAGTCTCTAGATTTAGGAGGAAAAATAATTCCTTATGGTTCACAATAGTGCAATATAGTACATATCAAAAAATTTAACAAATAAGCCTTAAGATGCTTACCTTTTCTTTTTTGGTCTTCAACGACTCACATTTACGCATTTTGCAAATCTGATGACTCCTTACACTCCGGCAAGGTCCACACCTCCCGCAATTTTGTTTCTGCAAGCAGCCTGGACACTCGCCACATCGTTTCCGCTTTTTTCTTGGGACTTTTTCGATATCCGCATCTTCTTGGGGTTGATAATACTTTGCATCTTCCCAAGATTCAGAGATGGGTGACGGTGGGATGGGTGGGAAGATCTTAGGGGGAGTAGTTGAAGATATGGAAGGAACTTGGAAGACATTTTCAGAAGGATTGCTCTTTTCTGAGAAATCCATATCAGAGTATTTATCCACATCATTTAAACTACCTCTCGGATGGCCGCGATAGCCAAAATGAATTGGATCACTCATATGATGTGAATTCATACTCATATTTGGATTGTGGTGCAAGTTATTGTGCATTCGCCGTTCACTATCAGGAATCATCCCATACATATTGTCATTGTGTTGGTACGGCACACCGTGAAGTCTCATTTCATATGGTGCATGTGATAGATCTTTTTTGGCTTGATTATTGCTATTTATGGAAGGAAATGTTTGGCTATCATTAGTGTCACTGTTATTATTAGTTTTACACTTTTCCATGTGAGAGTTAGAATCACTGACTGACTTAATAGAACTTTCACTTTTGTCTGCATAAAAATGTTCCTGTTTATCACAACTTGTTGGAGACCTGGTATCATCAGGACACGATTCTGTTGTCGTATGATTAGTTTCAGAATCACTCTTACCATCAGATGGAGAAGACAACACGTCATCCCTTCCATTCTTCTCGTGAGTTTTTACATGATTTTGTTCTTTCACTGACACATTCTGACCAGGACTCTTACTTTGAGGGAACCCATCCAGTGAATTTTTTGGCATCGAATCCTTAGGGGGTTCACTGTAAGGATGCTGAGAATTATAGTGTCTCACAATAGGGTATGCAGATGGAGTGGGTGGACGAACCGGACCTTCGTGAATTTTCCCGAATGGGAAGCTTTGGCACTGTGCATCATATGCAGGATAACGTTGTATAAATCCAGCATGATGCATTGGTGGTGGATACCCAGGAGCTCGAACAGGAGCATTATTTTTATAATTTGCAGGAAAACCTTGATGAGGCATGTGATAAGGTGATGGATGGACAGGATTAGGCATCCAAGGTTGCTGTCCCACAGCAGGTGCCCCACCTGGTCCTGGGCCAACTGGAGGAACTGGTGGACCATAGCTGGGGGGTAGAGGTTGTGGGACAGACACATGCCTGTTTTTTTCATTCATACTCATGAAATGCGGACCTAATAAAAATAATTAACACTATTAAAATATAGCAAAGATAATTAAAAGCAAAAAAATCGTTAAGTTAAATAGTTTTGAAAAATTAAAATAAAATATCAAATTTGATTAAAATAAAAATTGAGGCAAATACATAAGTGTGAGAGTAGTAAATGATAAAAATATGATGTAAATGTTTAAAATCAATCAACTATACCAGTGCTAATAAAGTATTCATTAAAATCAACAATAATACAAAATGCATTGGTATCACTAACTTACTCAAAAATTAGTAAAATAATGAAAAGAATGACAACAAAAAATAGCGTTGAAAAGAAAAACTTAGTATATTATTACTTTTAACAATATGAAACCCTTTCAAAGTTATAAACTAATGTAAAACATGTTTAAATGCACAGCTGGAGAAAGGCCCATTAGGCCAGGGTCTTTTTCAACATTTCTAATGACTATGCTCATCTAAAAATTGTTGATACTATTTCAAAAAAAATATTCATGACAGAAAGGAAGAAATATTTTCACATCATTAGTTAAAATATTTCCCATAAATCTTTCGTGAAGTCTGAAATGGTTAAAGCTAACTGCAAATACTATTTTAAAGAGAAAAATTTAATGTTCAGGCTCTGATTTCTGCTGTAAGTAGCAAATGGGTAGAATACATGTATCAAAAAGTTTGAAATAACAAGCTTTTTTGGAAATAGTAACTAAAACCAATTTTATTAGTAAAACAGGAAAACCAACTTATTCCTTCAATTTTTCTAATGAGAGTTAATCTAAAAATTGGTTCTTATACAGTATGTGAATTTTACTTGCTTCACAAAATCCTAGAACATATATTTGTTAAACAAGACAATTTTCCATCAGAAAAAAAGAAAGCTCTTTAGCTAATTCAGAACAATTTAAAGCAAGAAACTTTTTTTGAACATCAAATAAATTTAATCATACTTGAGTATAATTTTTAAAAGAAGCTTTTCTAAGTAATGATAAAATTGCATTCACTACTTATTGTTAACATTAATTCAAAAATCAGTCACTATTCAAGTTTATTGCTGAATTTTGCCCAATTTGTATCAAAATAATGATATGCACTCTCACCTGCAAAAAATTCCATAAATTTTCCCTCATTCTAACAATTTTACAGTATATTGTAATTTCATGGAATTAGAACTATTTTAGTAATACAATTAGGTAATAAGAAAAAGGTTCTAGTAAATTTATAACTACAATATTCTCATAATATAATGCACATGTTTAGTTAAATAAGTTCTCGAAAATAAGATTCAACTATAAATTACATACTATATTTCTATTTTTAATATTTAAGCCCATTTTGAAATGAATTCTTAACCTTGCCACTATAACAAAGGGCATTTATGAAATACAAATATTGCTATTTTAAACATTAGAAACATATATAGAACAAAAGGAAGATATAAATTTGTACAATAACAACAAATAAAATTATAAACAGTATCATAAATTGAAATAGGTATAATAACCACTTATTATACAATCGAGCCTCAATCCATCATTCCTGTATTTATCATCTTGTTTAAATGTTCCCATCACAAATACTATTCTCTTAATGTTAATAATACCCATTTTATATTATTTATGAAACTAGTAGATTCCTGTGTTAATCATTCTAAAAATCTACCAAGGTTTAAAAAAAAAATTATTATTTCATTTTTAGAAGAAAAACCGTAACTCCTGATGCTAATAAGGAAGAAGAAAGTAAGGATTTGTTTCCGTTCAGAGGAAAATGCTTCAAATATCATGTCTGAAACAACAATGCCTTAAACAACATATTCAAACTTGTGGTATTGTCAGTTCGAAAAATGGCTGCAAAAGCTAAAGAAGTGCAAAGTGATATCGAGAAAAGTAGCAAAACGAAACTTCGACCATTACCAACATTTGACACAAATTCACAAATAATGAGCATAATTTTGTTACAAATGTCGAAAATTTAACGTTTGGGATAAGAAAGGAAAAGATTATTCAAACCAATATTTCCAAATATTTTAAATAAATGAAAAATTTATTCATCTTTCGTACGCATTGTAAATATTTTTGCTATGAGCACATCATTTTTCAAAAATGTTTCATGCTTATGGTAAATTTATTACCTAATTTTCAAACCTATTATTTTCAAGCCATTATTTAATAGTTTGTGTTGACTCACATTTGTTGTTTTTCAGTATCTATTGTTTGCAATGAATGATCCCATGAGAAATGAAGGATCAAGGTTCTACTGTATTGAATAGTGACAGAGGACCCAACAACAGTAATAAAAGTCCTTATAAATTATTAAAGATGGCAGTTTCAAATGCATAATTTTTTATGCTATATTAAAATGAATTTCCAGAATTGTGTATTAAATAGTTACTTTTTGAAGTCATATCATATAACATTTTAAAGTCACATTTTTGCTACTTATAAATCCCACAAAACAGCTAACAAATCATGTATATTTAAAGCATGATCTAAATATCAAACATTTTTAATAAAACTTTACAAATCCTAAAATTTATTTTAATTAAAATTTACAAATGAAAAAAAAAAAAACTCAGAAATGTTTGGTTGTTAATCTGGAGGGGCAATGAAAAACTTTCGTATAATCAAGTTACATGTGATATAAACACAGCTAATCATGATTCTACTACGCTATTATATGACGTAATATCCTAAAAGTTCCTGTACACATAGTTGGATAATTTTACATAAAAACAACTCAATTTAAAACAATTATTTTTTGCTAATTGTTAAGAGAAAAATTTCTCAAAAAAATATAATTTTTTTAATTGATTTAACATTAATAATAATTATTCATAATATCAAACTTCTTGGGAACTGATCATGCCTTATATTTAATTCTGTTAATAACATACAGTTAATTTTCAGATCCTCAATTATTTAAGGATTAAATTCAGAACATTTATCCTAAAAAATTCCCCATAAAGAAAAATAAGGGATACAATGTTGCCAAAGATTTCTTCGACTTAAGTTAGTCATCAAAAACATTTTAATTTCAGTATTTGTATAGGATCTGACAAGGTTTTATTAGAACTCTGAATCTCGTTCTTTCACAAATGTAACAAATGTTGAGTAAGTTCTTTGTATACGGTGTGATCAGCAACTGACTAAAAGAATAGACGCCTAAAATTTTTTCTGCATTGGAACGCAAAAATGTGTTTCTAAAAACTTTAAGTGTGAATTTGGCTTTTCCAAGAAAAAAGCTGACATTTTGTATAATTATGGCATGAATTAAAAGATTTGTTCCTTCCTTCATTTAACAGCACTTTCAACTTATATATAAAAAAAAAAATCTGTTAAATTTGTTGCTTTACAACAATCGTCAAGTTCACGCTTTTCAAATACTCTGTGTTACCAAGCCAATATTCACAATAACTACAAAGCAGTTTATAAATGGAAGGGGAAAAAAGTCTGCGGTATTAAAAATAATGCATTTCAAGATAGTTATTTTTATACCCACTTTTATAATTTATTTATAAAACTTTATTATTGGCATTACTCATTTTAGTAATGCCACAATACATATCTTATTAGGCATTACATTTATTTTAACATCGCAAAACTTAAAAATTATTATTCTAAGCCTGCGGATTCAAATAAACTTTTTTCTAACTGTAGAAAAAAAGAGGCATTTGGAAACTAATTCAAAACAGATCCAATAAGATATTCAACTTTTTAGCCCTTAAATTTAAAAATGCTTCCCGTGACACTTTTGAAATTTTACAAAAAAGCAAAAATCTAATTTTAAAATTGAAAATTATTTACATTCCAGGGGCCGCTATAAGCATTTGCCGACTCACCAAATGCGATAAAATAGTAAATTTGGTGCATAAAATTGTGTTTTCATGAAAGTATTGGCGAATGTTTTTTTCCACAGGAAAAAAAATATATATATATTTAACTCAATCCTCAAAAAGAATTTCTTTTTAACAAATCAGTATTTTTTATTCAATTGCAGTAATTTTCAGTAGATGTGCCGCATAACCAATTAGAATTGGGTCAAAATAATATAAGTCTGAAACAAACTACCGTAAAATAGTTTTCTATGGGAAAAAAATTGCGAAGACTTTCAAAAATTGGCAAATGCTTTTGATATTTGGCTAATAAGTTGGAATCCTTAGCGTGGACCCTGCATTCTATAATTGGAAAATACAACAAAAACACAGTTACAGTTGATGGCTGTGTCTTAATAACACTGAGGTCAATTATTCAAATAAATAACATAATATAGTAATTTTCTGATTTATGCATGAAGAAAATTTCTACTTATAGCACCCTTTATAACTAGAAAAAAATTAACTGTTTTAATAAGGTACAGTAAAATATTTCCTTGATAAGTTAATTTTATTACTTAAAAAAGATTTCCAATTTAGTTCACAGTAATTAAGTCTAGCCTGGGCCTAAAAGAATTTATAGATACTAATTAAAAACAATTATTTACAAAATCATTAAAAATGTTTTGTTAACAGAAATCCTGATATAATAAACAATAATTGTTTGAATTGTTTTGTTTTAATTTTAAGGATAACACTTTAATGGATAATGTTAAACAAAATTATTACTTATTTCAATAGTAAAAAATGTCTTACATTATCCAAAAATAAAATTAAAAAATATATATTTATCTTTATTTCAACATAAAATTCAACATACTGTGCTAATTAGAATACTAATATTTTTATTACTTTTTTTTTCTTGAAAATTTTAACATTGCTTCAATTTGTCATATTTCTTATTGTGCAGTTAAACACATAATTCAAGCTTTTTGGTTATTTTAAAAGTTAATAGTTTTTCAATAAAATTTAATTTTGCCAATGTCTAAAGAATCTGCTCATGATATATTTAAATTTGATTACAAACTCCTTATGAATTTAACGGCTAAACAGACACAAAACTTTCAATTCTTGAAAAATAGACAATTTGAAAGCTAAAAGTTTTAAACCATAAATCAATTATAATATATAAAGAAATAATATTTATAAAATTAAAATAATTACTACTATAGCAAAACAAATTATAAAAAAAAATTCTAGATGTAATAAAATTGAGTTAGTTAACTTGTATTTTTAAAATGCTTTACTATAGTGAATTAAATTTATTTAATTATTTCTCTGATTGTTTGAAAAGAAAGATCTTAAAACTACCATAATTCTTCAGATGTTTTTAAAGTAAAAAATTAAATACATGATTTATTTCGATAAAATAGTTCTAATTATTCAATAATATCTATATAAGATCTCTTTTTTAAGGTGACGACTTTAAAAAAGTGTATAAAATCTTTTAATTATTTTTTGTACATTCTAAATTTCCATCTTTCTTTATATCAAAATAACTATTTATGTAATATGTTAAGCAATTAAAGTTTCTTTAATTTGAAATATTTCTTAATTCAATAAAATCTTTTCAATGGAATGGAGTTAGAAATTTTTAATACCATCTTTAAGTTAAACTTAAAATTAAAAGGTTCTGCTTTGAAAATAGTTTTAAACATTGATTAAAATAGCAATTATTTTTTAATGATAGCACTTAAAATAGCACTGAACTATATTCGGTATTTTATTGAATTTTTATTTTCTCTTTCTTGCTCGATATGTTTTAATTTGTATTTTTTGCTCAATTCATTTTATTTTCATAAAAAATTTTTTAGTGCTCTTCACACTATTATATTGATATATTTTGCGTTGACTATAATAATACAATATTAGAAAGCACTCTTTTTTTGAAGACATAATCATGTGAGCTGATCACAAGATTATATCTTTTCCTTATTTTTTTTCAAACTTTCAAATTTTTTTAAAGNTTATTTTTTTTGTTGATAAAAACAAGATTTTTAATTACAGCAGATGTGATTCCACACCAAGAAAAACTTGCAATTGATACCGCTCTTCCAAAGAATGAGAATTTATTCAAAAGAAAAAGATTTTATTTTTATTAGTCGATGTCAAATAAATATATTTTTCTCTTTTCTTTTTCTGTTCACTGATATGCATGCAATGCATTTTCTCCACCCCCCTCGTAAATCAAGCAGAAAACGAAATCAGCATGCCACAGATTGACTGCCTAAAGGAAAAAATAAAACAATCCTCCTTTCCTTGCCTTCAAGGTCACGGAGGAAATGACGTTTCTCTGGGTAAACGGGGAAAAAAATCTTCCCCTTCCTTACATTTTCCTCTACTCAACTTCAAGGATGAGTCGAATTTCCGCTTTTTTCGTTCTAGTTTAAAATGGCGGGAAATTCAAGCAAAATTTTTCCCGGTTTTCTGGTTTCCCGGTTATCTGGATACCGGATAAATGGTTCTCTACTGTATAACAAAAACAGAGTAACAGTTGATGGCCGTGTCTTAATACACTGAGGTCAATTATTCAAATAAATAACATAATATAATAATTTTCTGATTTATACATGAAGAAAATTTCTACTTATAACATCCTTTATAACAGGAAAAAAATAAACTGTTTTAATAAGGTACAGTAAAACATTTCATTGATAAGTTAATTTTATAACTTAAAAAAGATTTCCAATTTAGTTCACAGTAATTAAGTCTAGCCTGGGTAGCTTCTTGTAAAAAAATTTATAGATACTAATTAAAAGCAATTATTTACAAAATCATTAAAAATGTTTTGTTAACAGAAATCCTGATATAGTAAACAATAATAGTTTGAATTGTTTTGTTTTGATTTTAAGGATAATACTTTAATGGATCATGTTAAACAAGATTATCACTTATTTCTATAGTAAAAAGTGTCTTACATTATCCAAAAATAAAATTAAAAAATATATATTTATATTTATTTCAACATAACAATTCCACATACTGTGCTAATTAGAATACTAATATTTTTATTAATTTTTTTTCCTTCCAAATTTGGACATTGCTTCAATTTGTCATATCTATTATCGTGCAGTTATACACATAATTCAAGCTTTTTAGTTATTTTAAAAGTTATAGTTATTCAGTAAAATTTAATTTTGCCAATGTCTAAAGAATCTGCTCATGAAATCTTTAAATTTGATTACAAAACTCCTGATGAATTTAACGGCTAAACATGGACAAAACTTTCAATTCTTGAAAAATACACAATTTGAAAGTTAAAAGTTTTAAACCATACATCAATTATAATTTATAAAGAAATAAAATTTGTAAAAAAATTCTAGATATTATAAAATTGAGTTAGTTAACTTGTATTTTTACAATGCCTTACTATAGTGAATTAAATTAATTTATTTAATTATTTCTCTGATTGTCCGAAAAGACAGATCTTAAAACTGCCATAATTCTTCAAATGTTTTTAAAGTAAAATATTAAATACATGATTCATTTCAATAAAATAGATCTAATTATTTAATTATATCTGTATAAGATCTCTTTTTTAAGGCCACAACTTCAAAAAAGTGTATTAAAACCTTTTAATTATTTTTTATACATTTTAAATTTCTTTCTCTTTTTATATTAAAATAACTATTTATGTAATATGTTAAGCAATTAGAGGTTCTTTAAGTTGAAACATTCTTTAATTCAATAAAATCTTTTCAATGGAATGAAGTTAGAAATTTTTAATATCATCTTTAGTTAAGTCTTTAAACATAAAATTAAAAGGTTCTTCTTACCAATTAATATTTAATACTTCTTTGAAAATAGTTTTAAACATGATTAAAATAGCACTTTTTTTTTAATAATAGCACTTAAAATAGCACTGAACTATATTCTGTATTTTGTTGAATTTTTGTTTTCTCTTTTTTGCTCGATATGTTTTAATTTGTATTTTTTGCTCAATTCATTTTATTTTCATAAAAAATTTTTTAGTGCTCTTCACACTATTATATTGATATATTTTGCGTTGACTATAATAATACAATATTAGAAAGCACTCTTTTTTTGAAGACATAATCATGTGAGCTGATCACAAGATTATATCTTTTCCTTATTTTTTTTCAAACTTTCAAATTTTTTTAAAGATATTTTATTTTAATAATTTTTCTACTTCACCTAAAAAATATCTTCATATTTTTTCCATATTTTCTCTATATCCATTACATATAGAGAGTGAGAGAGAGAGATTATAATTAAAAATATGCAATGCAATAATATTTTTATGAGAAGTTAACATGATTTTCGTAATCTTAGTATATAATCTTCTTCAGTCTTGCTTTTGATCTCTTGCTCATCAGTCTCTCTTGGGGCAGTATGGTTCTGTGTGGTATTTTACCATTGATGGCAGAAACTGCTCTTTCGCTGATAGCATGGTAATGCCCCCCACCCCAATGGCAGTGCTTCCCTTTTCTATTTCTGTTTTCTCTCTCGTTTTTTTCTTTTTGTTATTTTTTTTTTTTTTTTTTTTTTTTTTTTTTTTTTTTTTTTTTTTTTTTTTTTTTGGCTAGTTTTCGAATGTGTAAAGTTTAGATGCTAGTAGGATTATTCCAGTTCTCATACTATTAATCAGTTTCGTGCCAGTTAATTTATCTAAATTTACACTTTTCGAATATATATATGACCCTTCTGCTGATTTTAATCATTAAAAATTATGCAAATATTTTTCAATAGAGATAAAATCAACAACCTTTATTGATGGGACACTATGTAACTTTCACTAAAAATTTTCAATCCATTACTTTTTTTATGTAGAAAAATCTAAAAGTGATTTTTGATTTAAGAACTACTAATAAAATAGATACTAAAAATTTATAGAACATATTTTTATATTAAAAATAGCTAATTCCGAACAATGTTGGAATCTAAAAAAAGAAAGTTTTAAGGTATTCTAACAAAAATATCCCATTTAAGAAATGAAAGATTAATAAAAACACTTGAGTGGCATACAAAATGTGCAGTACTCTTAAATCAATACAGAAAATTCAACAACATGTATGAGATAATTTACAATTCAATTGTATTAATCATTCAATTGTATTAATCATTCAATTGTATTAATCATTCAATATAAAAAAATTGTTAAGAAACATTACAATAAAAGGAGTGTTTAAATAGCAAAATATTATGAAAAGAAAAATCATAATGGATTACATAATGTACATTACATAAAACTGTAACTAATTTGTAATTATTGATATGTAATCATATTAAAAATACACTTTTATTTATACAAGTGTCAATGTTAATTGAATCTTATGATTTTCATGTAATTAATTACAAATATTTACATACCAAAATTAAAGTAATATGAGTGAATGGATATATTTCAGTTCAATAGTTTTACTTAACAAAAATAATATAATGGCATATTATCACTTATCAAGTTATTAAGAGTGCTGTTAACTGAAATAAATTAAAACATACATACCTTAAAATTTCTTTGCTTCAAACAAATATGACGTCCTTTAATATGCTGATGTTCTTCAAAGTTTTCCATTTTCTTTAACTTTTTAAGCTTAAAAGCTATAAAAAAAAATTTTAATTTAATTTAATAGAAAATAATAACCATGAAATGAAAGCAATAAAAACAATGAAAAAACAATATTTAAAATAATATAGCAAATGTTTATTAAATTATTTACAATGAAATTCCTGCTATCCTATGAGTTAAAAATTTAAATCACCTTAAAAATTTAACTCACTTTGGATGAAATTATCAGGAATTTTTTTTTTTTCTGCTATGAAATTTTCTTTTCATACGGATACTAGTTTTTTTGAGGCAGGATTTTTTATTTTATATTTTCTACATTAGCTTAAAGCATGAAAAAAACTGGGTCTAATGCTATGAGGGTTAATACTACAGATAAAAATTTCTACTTATTGGGTATTTTAAAAATTACCAAAATCCTTGTATTACTTAGCTAGAATATAGCAATTGCAGATTTCTTTATGTGTAAAAAACTAATTTTTTCCTTCTTACCTAATTTTTTTCAGAAATTATTGATTTATTTTGAAAATAATTTAGAAATATACACTTAAAGATGTGATTTTTTTTTAAATATGATTTCATTTTACCTCAAAAAATAGTGAGAGGGCTGGATTAAATTATTTTTCTATGTTAAAAATAGCAGGGGTGATTGTGAGCCCAACTCAAAAATCCTGAAAATTTCTCCAATAAAATCATTAATTACGTATTGCAAAAAATTAACGTCTTTATAAATTTAAATTATTAATATTTTCAAAACATGAAATTCTAAATCAATTTTATGCAACATAATTTAAATGAATAATTATTCATAAGTTTTGTATCACAAGTTGTATCACATTTATTATTCTACTAAAAAAAAATATTTACAAATGAAAGAGATGCCAAGTATAAATTTGAGTTCGAATATTTCTAAATAAAACATAATTTTTTTTTTAATACATAAATGTCATAAATAATTTCTTGAAACTTTTGAACCTGGGATTTTGCGATTACCGAAACATTCGGATTTTTTTTTGGAGCACAATCATTTCTGAAATAGACTAATAAATAATAAAAGGACACTAATTGTGGGTAAAAAGTTTTATATCTATTTGAATACAAGAAAACTTAATAAATATGTCATTTACATGTGATAATGAAGAGAGACTTGATTGGCCAAGAATAATTTAGAATAATATTTTTTAACTAAAACATTTTATTTTTTCATTTATTATTCTTACCAATTGACAGTTAGAGTTTCTGTCTTTACAAATTAATGAGGGTGTTGAGCTTCAACAAACATAACTATGATTTTATTTGCAATAATTATTTTCTTTATGATTTTAACAATTATAGTTAGAAATTCAAAATATTTTATTTGCAATACAGTTTGATAGGAACAGGAGAAAAAAATAAAAAATAATCAAAGTTGGAAAAAAAATTAAAAAGAAAATCATGACTTTTGCTAACCCTGCAAAGATAATTTATTTCAATGGAATTTTTTTTTTTTTTACTAAATCAACATATTTTAACTGAACATTTTTTGTGAGCAAAACCAATCAGCCTCACTAAATATTCAACAAGAAATCAATATATTTGTATCAGATATGACATGAATTATTTCTGTAACTGCTATGCTATTCAGGCAATATGTATTAATATTTCTCAGCTAATCACAATTCCACCATGGAATTACAACATTAAAAAAAAATTTTTTTTTTTCTTGGGACACAAAATGATGACTAGAATTTTTTCATACAAAATATGAAAGAATTTCATAATGAGTAGGAAAAGAGAGAGCCTTTACAATTCTTTGTAATAAATTAACAATTAAACACATTTGAAAATATTTAAATTTTGAATGAATAATACAATTAAAAAAGTAGACTAAAATTAAGGTATAGGTATATTATATAATAAAAATAACATTAAATAATTTCATGCAATAAAATTATCTTAAAATTAATACTTTCTTCTTTCTTTTCTTTTACTTTTGTCAATAAAAACAGTAGAAATTCATAAAGGAAAACAAATCATTTTTACTTGACACAAAAGAGTTACAATTTTTAATTAATATTACTATAAGTAGACAAAAGTTAAACTCTAGGCATCAATAAAATCAGTATTTCAGAAATTAGTACTCTATAGAGTTGACTAAAATTTTAACAAAAATAGCTATAAACATAGGTGCAGACCATAAAAGTTCAGGTCATCTTGAAGTCAATCAAATGTAAGTCTTTAATAAATCAAAATGAAGAGACTTAAATTTTGTCTACCCTTAACTATAACTTTATTTAACAAATTGCATAAAAATAAAATTTAAATAAGCAGCATACTTTTACTAAACCAAAAATATAATCCAATGCTCTTTCACAAATTAGTATTTCCAATCTAAAAATAAACAAAAAAACCATCATTATCAGCATCAAATAGATAGAATATACATTCATAAATAAAATATGGATGAAAAATTTAAATTTTCTAGATTAAAATTTGCAATTTTCTCTACCAGTAAACAGAAGTTTGAGAGCAGCTAAGGAATTAGGAATGTTTTATTAATTCTTACTGAATTATTCATGGTGTTGAGAGCAAGTCTAAAGTTTGAAGCAGTATTCAACTCTATTTAAAAACGGTATGAATTTATTCTTTTATACTAGAACCACAGCAAATGGACCTTTTACCTTAAAACAATGTGGCTTTCAGGACATTTTTCTGAACAGACTTTAAAAAATGTCTATCATCATTGTCAATTTTGTCAAAATGTCATAGATATTAAAAATGCTTAAGATATTAAATTAATATATTATTAATTTAATATCTAAGATATTAAATGCTCATTAAATATTATTACAGTATCGATTGCTGATATTAGTAAATAAATGTTTCGAGGTTCATTTTGCTAATATAAAAAGAAAAAATAATAAACAATAAAAAAACTGTTTGTCTGTGATAATTTGAAACAGACATTCATTCATATATTCATTTTCATATATTAAGACTGTTGTCTCCTTAATGACAATAAAAAAAAATTAAAAAAATTTCTCAAAGTATAGAAAGGTTTTGCAGTCTCATTTTTATATGCATTATATTGTTACAAACTACAAGGGTAGAGAAATTTGTAACCATGAAATTACACTAACATGCTTTATTTGATTCAAAACTTGTTTATGCAGATGCTGACTGTTTACAAGATGAAAAGAAAAGTAAAAAGTTCAACAACTAGATCTTTTTAATTAAATTTGATTCCTCAATTGATTTATGAAAAAAATTTTAACTGTTAACAATGAGGACACATCAATTTGATTAGAAATTTTCTGAAAAGGAAAAAAAAAAAAGATATGAACCAAAACTTCCAATGAGCATTGCCTTGCACAATTTTTTGCACTTCAACATACTTTTAAGAAGAAAGAAATAGAACTGAATATTAAGGTAAAGAAAATTTTCTATATTCAGAATTTTCTTAGGATCATACAAATTTAGAACAGTAGTACAAAAATAATTTTCTACCTGAGTCCTAAATTGAAGTTTTTTTGACATAAACTTTTTAAAAAATTGTTTGATATTTTTTCAAAGAATAAACTTAGACTGACAACTATTCAAGAAACTATTCAAAAAATTTTTTTTATGATGTTCAGAAATTTTTGACATGAAATGAAACAAAGAATCTAGAAATTTAATAAAAGATTTGATAAAGATAAAAATAAATATCTGATTTAATTCAGAGCCAACAATAATTTTAATACTTATGTTTCAATTTATGATTAGCTTATGTCATGTGGCTTAGTTATTTATAGAAGAAATCACCACAGAAAGTGGTTACAATATCAAGTCTGGTCGAATCCATATAATTTTTCATATCAATATAATCCCTCATATTCAATATGAAATCCATGGATTTTACCAGGTTAACACAAATAACTTAGGGTAACCACATAGGTTATCCATATGGATTATTTATAAAAAAAAAATCTTTAAATTAAAAAAATAAATAAAAGAATTTATTAATATGCAAACTGTGATTTTTTGATATTTTAAGGGATTTAGCAGATACATAAGTTAAATAAAGTTGTAAGCTTTTGTATAACGGTAAATAACTATGCACTTAATTTACGGCAGCATGAATGTAAATACATTATCATACATGCATCTTCCAAAGCATAAGTGACTTAATATTTTACTGACCTATATACCATTTTAAATAAATAATCCAGTGAAAAGGTATTAATTCAGATTCAATTGTAAGAAACATATTTAAAAATTTAAATGTAATTAGTGTATTTTGTAAACTGATCAGCCAAAATATTTTAAAATCTATTGTACACATAGGCAATTGCATTTAAATGAGCTTCTATACTCAATTTACAGTGATAACCATAGGCTTACCAATACTTAATTATGCCAAGTTACATTAAGAAATATGTAGTGTCAAAAAATATTTATCATAATCTCATATTTTAAAAAAAATTATCATTTAGTTAAAAGTAAAATTTAGTGAGAAATAATTTATTGAAAATTAAATGCAACAGCCTAATATCTGGTTGCAGTCTATAATTTTTAAAATTTATGACTATATAATAATTATATTTATTAGTAATTGTTACATTGTTATGCCAAACTTAATTATTTTTTAATTATAAAAAATAAATAATATTGATAAAAGGAATAGCTATGAAATTACAATAAAACAATTACACTAGCTGATGAAGTTGATGACTATCATAAAGTTTACTTTGCAAAATATTATTTAGAAAAAAACAAAACAAAAAAAAAAAAAAAAAAAAAAAAAAAAAAAACATTAAGAGATGAATGATATAAATTTTCTAAAAATATTGGTGGTGGTGCTAACAGATTCTGTAAATATTAGACATTATTTAGTTTTAATAAAATACAGAAGAAATCAAAATGAAACATAACACTCTGAGCTATTACATTTAGAATAAATTATGGTAGCTTAAAGCAGTTTATTAAAAAAAATATTCAAAACTTTTTGAAAATATAAGAATTTAGAAAAATAACATTTTACTTGATGTGCATGACAAATAAATTTTTAAAATATTAGTTGATATTTGACACAACATTTCAACATTATGTGGTAGGAATTACGTTTTTTACTATTTGTAAAATTATTATAAGACATCTTGAGTGTCCAAACAAAAGTACACAGTGTAAATATTGAATGTCCATAACAGTTTTGAATGTCCATAACACAATGTAAATATTGACATACGGAATGACAACAAAACAAACACAAATGACAATTATATACAATTATAATTTTATGAACGTAATGTTGTTATGAAATAATAATAATAAAGCTTTTACAAAGTTTGTAAACAAACATTTTCTGCCAAATGTATCTTTTTATATCAATCAACCCGAATTATTTATTACACCGATAATTCATAGAAACGCAGTATCAAAACAATGTTATTCACAATCAAAATATATTTTATTAAAATTAATTTGGGAGAAAAAATCTTTTTTAACTATGTAAATAATAAAACAAAACATGCAGCATGCAATATTTATAAACTAAAAATTTTAAAAAAGTTATCTATAATATTTGAAAACATAAATAAAAACAATATTTACTGAGTTTATATATTATTGGTTTAAAATTATTATTAAATTAATATTATTGTATTAAAATTATTATTAAATTAATATTATTGTATTAAAATTATTATTAAATTCAGTTATTATTATGAAAATTTCACTCATAATACAAAAACATCATTATATATGCACAACATACCGTCAAATTACGACTATGTAAATAATAAAACAAAACATGCAATATTTATAAACTAAAAATTTTAAAAAAGTAAACTATAATATTTGAAAACATAAATAAAAACAATATTTACTGAGTATATATATTATTGGATTAAAATTATTATTAAATTAATATTATTGTATTAAAATTATTATTAAATTAATATTATTGTATTAAAATTATAATTAAATTAATATTATTGTATTAAAATTATTATTAAATTAAGTTATTATTATGAAAATGTCACTCATAATACAAAAACATCATTATATATGCACAACATACCGTCAAATTACGATATCCCGTTGAGAACAATAATCACAATTCATTCACCCAATAGTAATCCATTTGTTTTTCTTTTAAACAGGAGCGAAAAGTTTCCCGCGATTCATGGGAAAACGCGCCAATCTAAACAATCGAAGAGAAAAGAAAACTCGCACGAATAACAACGAATAAAAAAGCACTCAAGAACCAAGAAAGAAAAGAAAAGAGAGAGCAGACCATTTTTACAACCTAACATTCACACAGCGAGAACAAAAATTTCCTCCATGGATGCTTTCGAACACCGCTGGGAGCATGAAGAGCGACTCCAGCGGCAGTCCCTGTGGCTGTTCATGAATCGGAAATTAATGTCGCCACTTCTCCAACAATATCTCTCTTTGAAGAGAAAAACAATGAAGAAAAAAAATATCCCACCTTGTTGGTCACCGGAACACTGTTATCTCCGAGATTTAACCCTCAAGATGGATAGAGGAGTAAAGTTGAGAAACTCTTTTTCTTTTTTTTGTCTCTACTTGAGCAGACGAACTTTTTGAGATCCGCTGAAATAACTCCCCCCTCCACATTTTCCCAGCCAACAGCGTGTGAGTGGTGACTCACGGAACAAAGCAAAATGTTTGTAATCCGACATTTTTCGTCAACAAATTTTTTTTATTTACATTCCAGTTTTTAGATGGAGGTGATGCGGTTCACGAATTAGGGATGGGACTTTCGATTGTCTCATTAATGTCGAACCAAAACAAAAAAAAGCACTTATATAACTTACCTTAGATCGGAGGCCGCAGCGAGCATTTTTAGAGAGCTGTTATTCGCTCTCCGTAAGGGTTGCCAGAACTGAAAAAGGCTGTCATCGCCAGATTTCGCCGCTATGTGAGGCCATAGATTGCAGTTTATCAATTTTGGTCGCCAGTTAAAACTGTTCTATCGACCAATTTTCCTCGCTTAGTCGGCTCCTAGTTAGCCGGAGGATTTATAGATAGAAACTAGTAGTGACTTGTGCAAATCTTCAAGGATTGCTTTGATCTTGATGAAATAAGGCGTTTATTTTCACTAAAAAATTTTTAGTTTTAGATGATAAAATAGAATATTATTTATTTATCCGGTAGGCGTAAGACTTTAAACTAAGCTATGTGAATTTCACAAAAGATGAATAAAATAAACTTTTGGAAAACAATTGTTGAAGAAAATATGCTCGGTCAACATTAGCCAAAAAAATATTACATCCATATTATGATTTCTGAATAAATTCTAAGAACAATGAATTGATAATGAGAAAAGAGATTTAGGTGAAATAAAATTGTATTTTATATCATCGAAATAAATATATTGTGAATTTCAATGTCACATCACATTTGTGATTGAAAAAATGAAAGATAGAAAAATTTGTATTGTTGATCCAAATTAGTTGGTGGCCTTAAAATTTAAATAGAAATTCGCATTTTGAAATCATTGCCAATTTTTTAATACCGAATTTTCCTGGAATGAGCAAGCACTTAAGGAAAAGAGAATACTGAATTTTCGCTGCAATAAATGTAATTAAATTTTAAAAAAGAAATTTTTTTTTGTAAGCATTACTATTGCAGACACAATTCTTTTTATCAGTTAACTAGTGATATATTTGCAAGAAGTTTAATTCTCTTAAATATTTATAATTCTTTTTTTCATATTTTAAATTTTTGTTAATTAATTCTTCTTTTTTTTTTGTCTTTAGTCTGCTTAGTCATACACATAACACAAAAGTGCATTTTAAAATAAATTATCGGAAATGTCTTTTAGTTCAAATAAAAAAAATTAATATTCTGTTGAGCAACATAAATGCAAAATTAAATATCTTAATTAAAGAAATTGTATATTCTCCAATAGGATTTAAAATAAAAACAAACGCACTATAGTTCAAAATAAGATTTAACATTCATTTGGGATTCAGTTTAGAATTTTATTTTTAATTTCAGGTCATTTATATTTAGTGAATTATAAAAGATTTTATTAATATTAAGTCTCAAAATCGTTTTTTAAAGGACAAAAAATTAAAAACAAAGCTCAAAAACAGTAAGCAGTTTAAAAAGCCACTTTCAAATTTCACGTTTAGTAATATATTGTATTATAAATATCAAGATAAAAAATAAAAAAAAATTTGAAAAATGACATGGACAGATGACAAAAATTTTGACTAAAAATTTTGGAATTTTTAAAACTATGGAAATTCGTAGTGATGACCACCGAAAAAAAGCGATCAAAAAACTACATTGATTTAAATTTGGCGGGTTCAAAACTTTTTTTCAAAAAAAGCGGGTTACGCATTTTTTTTCCTTCATATATATATGCATATAACCATCGTTGAACAGCCGACCCAACTTTGGGCTTGCGACTACTAATGGTCATTACTACCACTAATGTACTAATTCCGTAGCCTTGTAATTTTGAACCTAATCCACTAGACAAGGGAACTCCTGGATCAAGTATTGGGAGAGCATTTGTATTCGTGGAGGACTTTTTGATGGAACTAACCCGCATTTCCGTTACATGTCGAGGAAAAACTCCCATGGTTAGTCTGACGGTAAGGGGATTCTAACCCATGATCCGTCGACAACTGAGGGTATTTTACGTCAGCACTATGGTCAGTGCGAGTTCGTATTGATCATAAATAGCAGGGATTTGGACCGGGTGCATCTCATTGAAAGACGAACACCCTATTCCCTGAGCCACCTCGGCCCTAAATTCGGAATTAAAAATTACCGATTTTTTTTCATTTTCCAAAATAAATTATAATATTTTATTATTTTTATGTTCCGGTGCGACCGTTAGCCGAACTGCAAGAGCTGGCGAACTGCATTTTGCGCACCCGTATTACGTAGTATCATATACTCGTATCATTATAACTAGATAATGAGTCCTCAAAGACTCGTGCGCCCTTCCTGTACCGCGTGGGATGCTGGGGTGTTATTTACGCAACTTCTTCCAAGAGTGAACTATTCCTTCTCTGTAGGCAAACAAGACAATGGCATGAACTACACTTTGTGACCACCAACAAAACTGGGCAATGCTTAAAATATCATAAAATGTCAGCTAATCATAAATCAGTTAAATATCCAAACAGAACAGTAAAATATTCCTTCAAACAGTATAATATTCCTTCTCTGGTGGCAAGCAAAACAAACAATGGAATGAACTACATTTTGTGACCATCTACATAACTGAGCAGTACTTAAAATATCAACTGATCATAAATCAGATATATACCTAAGCAAAGCAGTGAAATATTCCTTCTCTGGTGGCAAGCAAAACAAACAATGGAACGAACTAAAAATTTGTGACCACCATCATATAAGTGAGCACAGTTCTTGATCATTCATTCTTTGCAAATTGAAGATAAATATAGAGCGCAACTTCACTTATAAATCAAGTCCTTCTAACTAAAAAGGATGATTAATTGAAAAAGTACACAGAAATTTACACCTGCAAAGTCAAGGAAGAGAAGTGCATTGTATAAATTTCCATTTCCATTCCTCGAAGATAGAAAGGTGTGTCAGGCTCATTGATCAGGTCTCCACTAGCTTGACACATTCCAATGTATAATCTGTATTCATCTGAAGCGAAAAGGTATAACATTACGGTCAGGTAGCTCTATTGTAGGGGATTTTTCTTGAAAAAGTTTCTTTCAAACGTGTTACTTCTTCATTATTTTGTTGGAAAAGCTATTGTCATTCCATATTCAGAAAAATTGGCAGATTCAGAAAGATTCTTATTCTTTTTTTCTTTCTTTTCGTTTCTTTCTTTTTTCTTTTTCGTATTCTTTCGTTTATTTTTATTTATTTATTTTTGAATTTTGAACAAGGTTTTTATGATTGAAAGGGACATAACTTGCTTATTTTCAATTTATGATGAGCACAATATTAACTTTGTTCGGTTGAGAAAAAGTGTTGGAACATTTTAATTGAATTTAAACGAAATGCCAAAACTATCGATAACAAAATAGGTGAAATATCATACATTTTTTAAAAAATATATTTGTTTTTAAAAAATATAAAAAATCGTATCCATATATCATATTTCATACAAATCAATATCCATATATTTTATATAAAATTCAAATGAACTCATATCAAGTTTCAAAGTTCATAATTTAGAATTTTCTTAAATGAATAAATAAATTATGGTAAGGTGCATAATGTTTCATTTAAAAGAGAAAATATGGTATGATTTGAGTGGAACTATGTAAAGAAGTTCTGTTAATTGATTAGGAAAAGATAATAGATTAATGCGTAGACAGATACTGAATGAATGGAATAATGTATTTCGATTTTAAATATAATTCCTGTTGGAGATTTCTTTTTTGTATAAATAGTAACAACAGACTTTTTTAATGTTTCATTTTATTCAAGAAAAATCTGATCTGAAATTTTTTTAGATCTTAAGCATACATGGAATATGGAATAAAATTTAATCAGTTAATTTAAATAAACGTTGTATAAATTAACATAATTTATGCATAAGCAAAAAAATTATATTAAGTCACTACGAAGGGGGGAAAAAACTACATAAGCTCTTATAAAAAATTCTACCTATGGAATTTTAAGAGAGGAATTTACGAAATTTACGCTTAAATTTTTAAGTATGTACCTGTAAAAGTAAGATAATTTTTTTTATGAATTTCATATTATATTTAATTGCGTATTTATTCGTAAGTAGGAAAAAAGAGTGTAAATAAAATTGTAATAGAAGTTCATTAATATTCCCCATTAAAAGCGTGGTAACTATTACTAGTATAAAACTAAAATATAATCAATAAACTTGCTATTTTAAGCTTAATTTACTCAAGTCTCAATGAATAGTCAATTGATTTACTATTCGGTAACAGATTCTAATTTTTGATTACTAACAAAAAGCAAAATAATTTTTTTTTAAATTATTTAATTTCTTATCTATTTATTTATTAACAAACCTTTCAAATTAAGAGATCTAGTTTTATAAATTCTTGATGATGATTTAAAAATATATAAATTAAAAAAATTTTGTATACTGGAAATGCGATGCATTTGCTCCTATTTCACGAGAGAAGAAACTTCATAAACTTCGAAACTAGTCGCCAAAGTGATGCAGAAAAATCGCCAGTCGGTCAATCTCAAAATAAGTTTCCCAGAGGCAATATCTAGCCAAATGTGTACTCCCTTTCTCCCTCAACATCACCGGCGTTTCTGTGTATAACTTTGTTGGAAGGATAGAACGATAGAAGGACTTTTTTTTCCCTCTCTTTTCTACTATGTAAATAAGTCACGTGATTCGAACGGGAGGCAATTTCTCCATCCATCCGTCTGATCTGGGGAAAAGGGAGAAAAAAACTGGAGAGAGCGAAAGAGTCAGAAAAAATACAGAGGGAGGGAGGTAAACCT